CTCTTTCCCCGTCGTGTGGTTGATGAACCGGCTCTCTCCGAGCTCGATCGTGATCACGTCGCCGGTCCGGCACTCCTCGCAGATCCTTACCTCTGACTCCAGCGGGTACACCTCGCCGGTCGCCACTGAGTTCCTGAAGAAAATCCTCGCGTACGACTCGGCAACCACTGCCGCCGTCCCCGCCGCGCCGAGGGCCACCGGCGCGTGCTCGCGCGAGGAGCCGCAGCCGAAGTTGGCGCCGCCGATGACGATGGAGTACTTGGACTTGGTCTCCCCAGGCTCAAGGAAGCGCGCGGCGTAGGACGACGGGAGGCCGCAGAGCGCGTAGGAGCCGAGCTTCTCGTACTCAGCGGGGTTGGAGGGGACTAGTGTTAGGTACTCGGCGGGAATGATCTGGTCGGTGTCGATGTTGTCGCCGACGACGTAGCAGACGCCGTGGAACGTCGCGGAGCCGTCGGAGGAAGGTTGCGAGGCGGCGGCGCGTGGAATGACAGCGGAGGCGCGTGGGGGACGGAGAGTTAGGGATTTGATGGAGTTTTGCGGAGTGGTGGCGGGGAATTTGATGGAGTGAGGGATAGGGGAGAGTGTGTGAGGGATTTTGGGTGAGGAGGTGAAGCTAGGGTTTGTAGAGATTGACAATGAAGCCGCCATTGGAGCACAGATAGTTTGGCAATAATGAAATGGGGGTAAAAAATTTTTGGCTGATTTAAGTGAACTAGTGAGTTGAAATGTGGATTGCACAGGGAAGCTGGCGTAGGAGAGGATGTTGACCAAAATGTGATAAATCTTGACTGACAGCAACTGCTTTGATCAGGATCAGGCGGTGCAAGAGATGCACCAAAATTAGATTAATGCATCTTAGATTAATGCATCTTAGTGGCTGATTTAAAAAAAGTGCACAATTCAACAATGTAGAAATTGTTCTTATGTTTATGTAGCCAAACACAAATGAACCGCTTAAAAAACATGAAAATAATAAACAAATTGTATTTGCTTTTTTTTTTTTGGAGGATGTAAAAATTGTGTAATTACAAGCTAAACATATTCGTCAATTAATATTATACAAGGTTATTATTTTTTTTTTTTGCAAATAATACAAGGTTAATATAGTTTTTAATAACTCAAAAATCATAGTACGAAATGATCAATATATCATTTAAAACAAATAATTGTAAACATAAAAATATATGAAATTACTAATTTGGGTTTGTTCATCGCTTAATTGGGCCATCAGATTTGGGCTCACTATTGGACTAGGTTTTCTCTAGAAACTTACTTCGGCCCAGTTTCGAAGTCCATCAGCCTCCTCGCAATCTCCTACCTTTATAAAGGTAAGGTTCATTCTAAACCCTAGCTTGCTCTCAGCAAAGCGAAAGCCTCAGCCATAGACGACTGCCTGCGCAGCTCATTTCTGATTCAATGGGTACTCTCTCTCTCTCTCTCTCTCTCTCTCTCTCTCTCTCTCTAAACCCTAAGTCAGTTTGATTACGATGTTGCGGTTCTCGTCCGAAAATGAATTTATGTTGAAGTTTTTGAAGAGATATACTCGGAGCTGTTTTGAAACTACGCTTTTTGATGTTTATATGTAATTTATTTTGTTACACGTCAGTTGTAGCTAAATGAATCCTGTTCTGTAAATTTTCGTTTGGGAATATGCATCTTGTTGCTGAGTTAATGTTAAAGTAGCACGAAATATGTTCTGGGTCTTAACATGTTTTGCAGTTTTATATTTGGTTTCCGAAGATTGGGAAAAACCCATGTCATTGGAGATTATTATACCTTATACCAGAGTGTGTTTTTCAGCTTCAACGGTTTTGCTCTCTTTGATCTGAGAAAAAAAAATGAAAACTTTTGTATCTGTTACTTTTTTGTTCCAATTAGTTTTCGGCATATAAATTGCTTTAAGGTTTGAAGCGGGAATTATTGAACAAATTTTTAGCAGTAAAAAAGATTAAAAAAAAATGTTACTGTGTGGTTCAGTCTTTTAAAATCATCCATTTGCCAAAAAAGTTGTGGTTTTTCTATGTTACATTGGTCTGAGGTTCTTCTCGTATTAGTTTTGGTTTTTCTCATATTTACAGTTTGGGTTTGGTCAATTTAGGGGCTTACAAGTACGTTTCGGAGCTATGGAGGAAGAAGCAATCCGATGTGATGAGGTTCTTGCAGAGGGTTAGGTGCTGGGAGTACCGCCAGCATCCTTCCATCGTCCGAGTCACCAGGCCTACTCGCCCAGACAGAGCTCGCCGTTTGGGTTACAAGGCCAAGCAGGTATTAGGAAGAATTTTTACTATTTTTTAATGTGTCATTTTGCCATTATCCATATAATGTATATTAATTTTTGCACTTTGTTTTTACATGTTAGCGAGAGATAAAGTTCTGTTATCTATTTGTTATGTTTTCTTGGAAATGCCATTATTTGGAATCTGTTGGTTTGCAAGTAGCTAAAGTTCTGTTATCTATTTGGTTGGGCATTGGTGCTGATCTCAGCGACAATTGTGTTGGTGCAGATATATAGAAGTTTTATACTTTATAGTCTAGTATAGGTTATATAGCTGGTTAAGCGGCTCCTTGATGCCTATGCTTTTCTCCTTAGGAGGTTGCCTTAGGTAAAATGATAGGAGGCTTCCTAAGACCAGCTACATTAAACTAACTGTCAATCACTGACCGGGTGGGAGTTTTCTATTTCCGTTTCTCGCTCTTGTCTTGATCTGATAATTGAATTTCGTTTCTTAGATTAATTTTTTGGTTCCTTGGGCTGTTGTAATTGGGAACTTTTGGTGTTTTATAGCTTGCATGGTTTATCCAGTATTTTTCTTGTGCTCGCTACTTAATTCATTGTTCAATTGTCAGGGCTATGTGATTTACCGTGTTCGTGTGAGGCGTGGTGGTAGGAAGAGGCCAGTTCCCAAGGGTATTGTGTACGGGAAGCCCACAAACCAGGGTGTTACCCAACTGAAATTCCAGCGCAGCAAGAGGTCTGTTGCAGAGGAGCGTGCCGGTCGTAAGTTGGGAGGTCTCAGGGTTCTCAACTCATACTGGACCAACGAGGTTCGCATACTTGATTTCTAAACTTCTTCCTTTCAGTTGTGATTTTTAGTTGTTTTTCTGTATGGTTTTCCTCACATGTATGGCAATTTGTTGATTATATAGGATTCGACTTACAAGTACTTTGAGGTCATTCTCGTCGATGTTGCCCACAATGCCATTCGAAATGACCCGAGAATCAACTGGCTCTCCAAGCCTGTTCACAAGCACAGGGAGCTTCGTGGACTTACTTCTGCTGGCAAGAAATACAGGGGTCTGCGTGGAAAGGGACATACTCACCACAAGGCAAGGCCTTCCCGCAGGGCTACCTGGAAGAGAAACAACACACTCTCCCTTCGTCGTTATCGTTGATTTTACTGGTTCTGCCTTGTTATCTTTTTTGGTTGTTTTCTGGATATTATCTCGAGAACATTTTAGTTATTTCGCTTTTGCAATTTTGGAGATTGATATACTGAGATCATGTTTAATTTGAATGATTTACTATCAAATTTGCTATATCGAGTTTTTCTGTTCTTATGATTAGATTTGACGGATGTCGTTTGGTATTCTCTGGCGCACCAATCAATGTTTGAGTGCATTTTATTTCTCAAGTAATTATTGTGTCAGATGTTATGATCCAATTTTGTTGTCAAATTCTACAAATTTCTCTTTTAATCCCGATTTTCCTTCTGAAAAACAATAAGAAATGTGAAATTTTCAAATCAGCTGATTAAATTACAATCGCAGTTTAATCTGTGATTATTTTTCATATTTTTTAAAAAAGAAAAAATAATAATGTTTTTATAATGACGTTTGGTACAATAAAAATAAAAAACAGTAATTAAAATAATTTTTTAATTTAATATAAAATGAGAGAAATGAAAATTTATTTTTTATTTTATTTTCTCTTCTCTCAAATAGAGAGAGAAAAAGAAATATTAATAAGTTTTTTTACATTAAAAATAATTTCTTAATAAAATTAACATATTTTTAAAAATAATTTTTAATTTTTTTACATTAAAAATAATTTCTTAATAAAATTATTAAATGAATTTTTAAAAATAGTTTAATCTGTGATTATTTTTCATATTTTTTAAAAAAGAAAAAATAATAACGTTTTTAAAATGACGTTTGGTACAATAAAAATAAAAAATAGTAATGAAAACAATTTTTTAATTTAATATAAAATGAGAGAAATGAAAATTTATTTTTTACTTTTTATTTTCTCTTCTTTCAAACAGAGAGAGAAAAAGAAATATTAATGAGTTATTTTACATTAAAAATAATTTATTAATAAAATTAACGTATTTTTAAAAATAATTTTTAATTTTTTTACATTAAAAATAATTTCTTGATAAAATTATTAAATAAAATTTTAAAAATAATTTCTATCTGAAATTAAAAACGTTTTTATTTTTATTTTCATATAAAAAATAAAATTATTTTAAAACAAATTTAAAGACGCCATTAATTTTTCAAGTCAGCTTACGAGTCAAATTTTTAGAATACTACCAGTTTAAATTTGTCAGGACATTAGTCCCTAGTCATGGGTAAACAAGTATTCTATCACCTTCCATGAGCGCCCAAAGAAAAAAATGTTCTCTCACCACCGTCACTCCACAGCTATTGCATTGTAATAGTCCCTAAAATTGTATTTCCCAATCCACCCTAATGCATCTACAATAACTGCCGAATTTTTCAAAGCTACAATCCTCGATAAATCAGTTTGCTTTTCATTTTAGGTGCGACCCAGCAATGTGTAAAGCTTGAGAAATTTCAGCTCGTTAAAAGCGCGTTCTTCGGTTGCCGCTTGCCAGTGTTGTACTGAAGGTGTGAAAATAATTCCTCTGGTTATATGATGCAAAAAGTTACCTAAAGCTGTCCATTAATGTAGCTCTCTTTAAGATTATGCAATGCTTGTCTGATTGAATCCTCATCTTGGCTAGAGTATTTCAGGCATGTTAGCCGCTGAGCTACACGATAAGCCATTTGCATTGGATGGTATTGTAGACAGTTTACTTCCATCCGCTTCATTCCCTAGACATTGAAAATTGGGTCACAACAGTTCATGGGAAAGGTCATTTTAATCTATTAATAAATTTCATAAAGAAAATAAGAAACTCTACTTTAGTCCGATATAATAGTACTAGTAATAATAATAATAATTAAGAAAATGAATTACAAGTATTCAGTACGCAGCAACGAAGAAGACAACGTTTTTAGAGGAGCTTATGGGAATGGTAAGTTTTAAATGATTGATCATGTCCGCGGCAACTTGTTAACTTATAGTTGCTTTGAGTGAAGATTATTTTTTCCCATGTGCAGAAGCCTGGTAACAAGAGTGCCAGTATGTTTTAGAACTGAAATATGATGATTGATTTGAATAGATTCGACAACACATAATCTGATTAATAATTAGTTTTAACCTATGCTTATTGGTTTCAGAGTTGAGAGCTCGCAAGGATTGAGATTCAGTGTCGAATCCTGTGATTTTTAGACCTGATGTTCTCACTTGTCAAATATTGTCTATAAGCAAAAAGATGGTGAAGCCTAGCAGTGAATGTCAAGCATTAAACTTCAGATTCTAGATTATAATCAAGGATTTACCTTTTCCTTTATCCTGGATGTGATGTTTCTGGCCGTTTCAACGACGGAGCTTGGTAAGCCTGCCACCTCTGCTAATAGAAGGCCATAGTGTGGTATATGTCTTGGTCCATCCTTTAGTTGAAACTAGTAAATAGAAAGGCTTTCAGACACTCGAACGTTTTCCAATCATCATTATCAAGAGAGTTGGATCCTTACCTTGAAATCTAAGCGATTATTTCTGATATCAACATTAAAGTGAAGAATTTTCACATTGGGGTATATGGTTGCTAGTTCTGATAGGTTCTCCATATGAGTAGCAAATATTGTATACCTGAGGAAGATGAAGCAAGTTGATATGTTAATGTGAAAGAAATATGAAATTCCAAGAATTAAAATCACACGAGGCTTTTGAAGTAATCACTATAAGAATATATGTTAAACAATTTAAACTTTTCCCATATCTACAGTTCCATGACTTTTGGAGACACTAGAGAGCAATGATAAATGGAAAATTGAGTAAGGGGTTACGCTTTCAGTGATAAGAGATACTCGCAGCAGCTCCATGCAAGTGCAAACCCATCAGATGAAGACGTGGCCCTCCCAAGCTCATCCATAACAATTAGACTCCTGAATAGAAAACAACAGAAAATTTGTAGTAATTTTCGTGCATTTGGATTGTTAAATATGCTGCGATGCAATACCTTTGGGAGACATTTTGCATGATGAAAGCTGTCTCTCTCATCTCTGTCATGAACTGTGAAACCAAAGAAACATGGTGAAAATCCTAGCTCATGCATTAATGTGACAAAAACGCAGCAATTAGGAAGGATGATTATTCTCTATAAACCACGTGAGGATTTTTTACCGTACTAGAGTTTGATTCCAGATTATCTACTGTACCCATCCTAGTAAATATTCGATCAACAACTCTAAGGGTTGAGAAGCGGGCTGGAACATAACAACCGATCTGAGCAAGAATAACTATAAGACAGACTTGCTGAAGATAGGTGCTTTTTCCACTCCTGAAGGAACCAAAATTGATTAATCTCAAGTTACATCGGTTACTAAGTTTACTACATTTTTGTATGCATGTTTCCGTCTATTTAGGCAAGAAGGTTCCTGTCTATTGAATGGTATAAAGGAGAGTGTTGTTAAAATACACTAAACCACTAGTTTGTGTGTAGATGTAAATATAAATTGATGTCCAACCAATGAGACCAACTAATTGTAAGCTTTACCTGCTGTAGTGAAAGAAATGATAAACTTTAAACATTACACTGTTTGATTGCATACACAGAATAGCTGGTTGGGGACTGTTCTCTATTGAAAAATATTGCTCAATGTATGGCAAATTTTCACCTCCATGAGTCAACATCAACTTTAATAAGAGCTTATCTTACATGTTTGGGCCCATGACAATCACCATGTTGGATGCCTCAGACAAGAAAATGTTATTGGGCTGCAACGGACAAAATTTATCAGCTTCTAAAAGTACTTCAAAATTTTGATTAAACTAATCAACTTTTTTTTATATAAAAAAAGAAGTGAAACATTACATACAACATAGTCACTGTGTATGCTCTCCAATATCGGGTGTCTTCCAGCATCAATTGCCATTGGGCCATCATCTATGAGTAAACCGAGTTGATGGTTATTTCGGTGTCATTTTGAAAATTAACGAGAATGATTGCTAAAAATAGAAATAACCTGCCTGTAAATTCTGGTCTAGTATAACGATCAACAGGCTTTGTGGAAATTGCATGTGCAAATGAATTGACAAGCATATCTAATAGGCATAGGACCTCTGCAAGCAGTGTGAGCACAGAAACATCTTCTCGTATGGCATCTACTAGTGCTGCATATAACATTTTAGATACAATTCAGAAATTTATAGAGAACTTGGAACGGTTTAAACATACAGGAACCAGACACCTTGAGCATAATAAACCTAAATTTGTAGACAAATGTGTCCAAACATCATTTGCCTAATGGGTAAAGCCCTACGCAAAGATATGAAAGCCGGACCTTCAAGGCAAAGTTCTGTTCGTTTATAGCACTCCGAAGATGCAGATTTGTTTCTGACGTTTAGCTGCAAGTTTCATGAAGGATAATGGAAACACCAATAAGTAGAAATCGGTGTTCCATTGACAATACTGATATACAATAAACTAAGCATACGTAATAAAAGCAATGGCTTGCATATCAATAATATCACATATTGACTCCACTGATAACTACACACTGCAAGAGTGGTTTTTTATTCTTATTCATTAGGAGGGAAAATGGATACAGTTAAAACCAATCGATCAGAAAACACGGGGGATTAATCATCAAAACCTTTACCTTGGCTCCAGTATGGAAGCGCTGTGATGGAAGGCATTTTTTATTTGACCTAGTTCATGATTGATTCTTGAAACAGTAGAGACAGCTCAACGGAGGTAGTCAAAGGGTAGAGAGTAAAGTGAGCCTACTTCACGAAATTCAGCGGTATCTCTATTTACCAACCTAGAAAGTGATCATGAATGACGCTTTCTTGTTTTCATGTCATGACTGCAGTTTTCTAGAGCCATATGGCATCACAATAAAGGTAATGACCCTAGTTTTGTTGAATGTTTTTATTTAATAACATATTTACAAGGGCTATAGTTGGGATTAAATCGATAAACTCAGACAAAAAGATCATAGATGCGTTGCAGAAGAGCTCAAACAAATAATGGTACTTACAGATGCTAGTTCTGGACTTGAGCAACGTATATTGTTCCCATGTTTCAAGACCTGCATTGCGTTTCCCAACCAGATGAAATTAGGAATGATTATTCATGAGATGCTAACGAATACAATACACGAGAAAATGTCTTCTAACCTGAATGAATTGGCTAGGAAGCTTTCCTTGAATATCTTTCTGTGGAATGCTAAAGTAGAACCCGTGTCTACTATTGAACGGGAGTTTTAAATTGGGCAACTTGAAATCTTGACGGTACTTGTTAGCAAGGTTATGGATAGCTGTCAATTTATTTTCAACTAGTTTGAGGTTGTACTAACAATTCATCCTAGGTCAAAGAAAACAACAAACAAATAACGGTTTTTTTCCTTCTTCCTTATTGGCTAACGTTTGATAACATTTTTAGTTAAACATGCACTGGAAGAACCTTCACTAGTATCACAAAATGATCTCCGGGCAATGTCCAAGAGTCCATCAATTCCAGCCTTGACTGCAAAACACTGCTGCGTTCGAGCTACAAAAGGAACCCGTGTATGTAGCACATCTTCATCGATCATCTCTCCAATCCTGAAATAAAACAGCTGCTTTGGTAGACAAGTGGTATTGAAGCCTTTTACATTTTAAATGAAAAACATGCCAACTCCAGCTGTCCTAACACCTCAGAATATTTAAGTCTATATCTTACTCTAAAAGCGAAATTGTAAAGGAAATAGTAAATAAATTCACATATAAAGTCCTGATGAATGAGAGATGCCCATATTGAAGGATTTGAAGCAGAACAAAACGATTCAAAAGTAGCAGTACAGCTGCAATGTACCTCTTTCTAATGAGAGCATATTTTTCATTTTCGCACACAGACTTGTAAATATTTGCAAGAAGAAAACTCTTTGCCTCCTTAAGCACCTAACATATAGGAAGATATTGATATTTCAGTACACGTTTTAAGCCCATTTTTGTATACTCTATAGGAAAATTTATGCATTTACCTTTGAGAGCAAAGGCAGGGCATCCAAGGCAGTTTTAAGAAGAATGACACTTGATATCAACATCTGCCTCTTTCTTGAAGAATCAACACCAGAGACTTCATTTGTAACTTTCTTTGGCTTGAAGCAAAAGTGACAAAGTACCCTATCTGAAGGATGAGCAAAAAAGTTTACCACCAGATAATCCAAAAAAAATGATTAGCTTTTAAAAAAATTGAATCTTTTCCCATTTTTCCTGTTTCCCTGCACCTTACCGGTCTCTTTTGGAAATTTACGCAGAATCTGGGAGAGTCCAAAGAAAAGCTCTTCGTTGCTCATCAGTTCATCCTAAAGTCATGGATCCATATATAGAAGAGACATCATGGATTTAAAACAATCTCTGCATTTCATCCTCTAATTATTATATCATATATGATATACTTTGTGCAGTGTAAGGAAATAAGCGCACAACAGCAAGTGTACATACTACTATAAGGACCAGAAAAATCATGATGATCTGTACTACGAACTTTGAGGTTCTAAATTTATGTTTGCACAGTTAATAGGCCCTCAAAACTGTCCTTGGAGCCTAACAAGTGGTTTTCTAATGACGCTTTTTCTGTACATAGATTGGATTCAAGACAACCTGCTCTTATATCACGTTAAGCAATTACATTTCTCAAATGTTTAAGTTAGTAGGAGATTGACCAACATTAGTTGTTATATTCCAATACATAGTTCTTATATAACCTTCTGTAGCTCCATAAGAGAACTTTAAATAACATATTCAACACTAATCCTCTTTGTGCCATGGTAGTTGAGTGCCTTACCAGGTCAAAGGTTCAAGAGTTCTAGACAGCAGCAAACAACGACACTAACCAGGCAATCAAGACGTGCATTGATGGTTTCGGCATCTCTTAATGGCTGCAAAAGGTTGGCACGAAGAAGTCTAGTCCTGAATAAGAAATCAGATACATTTCTGTTGTTAGTTTTAAGTAAATTAAAGAAAAAAGAAAAGTGAAATTTCCACTGTTTAAGCATATGAGGCGCTGAATGCTAACTTATCACAATTGCTTTTATGCCTAATCGGATATTATAATGTCCCTTTCCCATGGTCTAGGGAAATACTGAAAGCTATGAAAAAATGTGGGTAAAGGTGACAAAATAATATGTGCATTGACCAGCTGATATAAGTACCCTCCAACGGTTTTTGTTGTCTTAAGCATGTGAAACAAACTTCTTTTCTTGTTGCTTGTGCCCCACAACGTGGAATGTAGTGGCTCAATAATCTCCAAATTTCGGACACTGCCATCAAATTCAAATTTAATCCGATTATCAAAGACTTCAAAAGTTTTAAAAAAATAATAATAATAAGTACATCAGCAATCAATTTCAACATTTTTCAATTTCCCAACTGAAATATATCTTTTTCAAGTGTATTTCATAGTACTAAATTAACAACCAGAAGATCATGTATAGTGCACACTTTCAAATAAATCTCAGAAAGCAAAAGAAGTGCACCTTGTAGCATCAATATTCATGTGATCAAATGATCCATTAAAAGTGACCTGAGAAAGTCAGTTGCATATTAAAAGTAAATGCTTTAGAATCTTGAAAAAAGAAAAGGAAATGAAGAAGGATTAAGTAGTAGTGCAAATAGATGGGAGATCTTCGTGAGAGACATTAGAGACATTAGCTTTTGAATGCATAAAATGCAAATAGATCACTTTTACATAGCAAGGATACCAAAGTCTCTAAGAGGGATATTTTTTTTTTTTTGGTCCGGAGAACCTAAATTAATACAAGATATAAAGTAGAAAAGACTAAACTTAGGAAAGGGTGATCAGGTAACAAACCTAGATAATTTACAGAATATTCCTCCAAGTCGACAAATGAAGGAAAAAAAGGGGTAACTCTTTGAAATCCTTAAGAAGAAGAAACCTATAAAGAGGTCTAGAGTACTCAACTTCTCATGCACGAATCTGACAATACTAAGATGCACCCCTCCCCCACCATGGAGTAAAAGAAGATAACATAATCATCAAATCCATTCCCAAATTATCCTTCGTTTGGGAATTTTCCCTCAGGATCTTTTTAGGAACATGAATTTCCAAGATCACATCCATCCACATGATCTACTTTATCTTAAGTAACATAAAATCTTTCCAGCTAAACATTATTTAGCTTTATCCCCATCACCACTGCTAATTTCCAAACCAACCGCTTTATGGATGGAAAAGAGACTCATTCCAGCATCCAGACTTCAGAATATTCCTCACTAGCTTCCTCCTAGTTCCCTCTATAGTTAAAACAACAATCTTCATAGTATTCCTTCTCATCTGAACCTGAAGTTTCTGTTTGTCACCAACATCATTGACATCAAATATGCAGAATTTAAGCCCCGAGATCCCTACACTTTTCTTTCCATCACTAAGTCAGCCAACGTAAGAGTATCACAATTTTGAGGAATGGGCAAGAGGCCAACTTCATTTAGCAAGACAACACCTCAGGCATGACTCTCTAATTTGTTAAATAGCTAGGACACTTTCAAAAGACAACTATTTCTCACTGCTCTCTTAAAACCTGAAGACAGTTCACAAGTTTTGTGGTGTTTGTGGCCAAGATATGGTCATACTGTAGTTATTATGACGGAAGGAAAGAAATAACATCATCAAACATACCAATAACGAGTGATTTGTAACAATAAGCCCTTTCTCTGCTTCTATCCTGTGTGGATTATGCAGTCAATTAATTACCCATAAGAATAAATAAGTATAACAAGTAGCTTAAAAGAATAAAAACCTTAATTTCTGGAAGTACCACTTGATAGTAGCCGCGCCAGCAGCCAAGCACAGATAATATTGCTTGTAGTAAGTATCCAAACCAAGTGCTGAAGGCTCCTTTGCTGCAAGATTTTTAATCAGCACAGCACCCTGGAAGGAAGAACAACAATCGAGTTCCCAGGTAATAGATACCATTGTCAGCATCCAAAGCATCCAAAGGTGTTAATATAACCAGTAAGATAAAGAAGTATCAAGCATAACCTTAGTGTCATCAAAACAACTGCGGCTCATTACAACCTGCAGAAAATCAGCCCTTAAGTTTAGTAAGAGGAAGGGAGAGAGTGGGAGAACACCAGATTACTAACTCTCCAAGGACATCACCTTCTTGACTGAACCATAAAATCTGTCTACCAATTCAGAAACTCCAACCATGCCTTCAGGTGCCAACTTGTTTGGAGGAACAATGATCACCATAGGTTCGTAGAAATGAACCAAGGTTTTCGTATTTTGATATGAGCTGCTGGTTTCGATGTATTGGGAAAGATGCAACGAAGCCGACCTTAAGTCAAAAGCAGCCACTCCAACCTGTTTGGATAAATTAAATTAGTGAAGAATTATAATTTCAATGCTCGATCATACCGCGAAGAGTTGACATCACATTCATCTTAAAAATGCTAATTCTCTAAACCGGAGATGCTAAAATCCGAGTCTTCAATATAAACTACATGAGTTATAGGACACAAGTGAATCAGTTAATTTCAGCCACAAAGCACCGTCCTAATCACTTTTCCTCTGTAATCTTAATTGTAACAGATCTCTTTCATCTTACAAGTACATAAGCGAATCCAACAGAAAATTTGCTAACTAAAGCATTAACGAACGACACTATGAGCAAACAAATTAATACTATTTCTTTTCATACCAAAAAATTCTATGTGAGATTCATCTTCACAAGCAATCCTAGGTTCTATCGATAGAATTTCCATAGCAGCAAACACAATTTCATGCATTGAGAAATTCAAATTCCATCGGCTTCACTTTCACTTCATCATTCTCATCCGAAAGTCATGAATTTCAAAATTTCTGGCGATATACGGAATTAAAATCGCCCAAGAGAATTTTTGATCTACTGAAATTCACCGAAAATGAAAATCAAGATAACACTGATCAAAGCTAAGAGGTAAAAGAAATGGCGAGAAGGAGAACTTGAACCTCCTTGGCTCTGTTCTCGATGAGACCGATCACGAAGCTCGATTTCTCTCCTCCGTCGTCTTCCATGGCTTCCCCGCTCTCTAACCTCAACGACCTTTTGCGTTTTCTCGCCACCTCGAACACTGATGTTGTATATATGAGTTGCTCTTACATGTGCTACGTTGAGCGGGGTGCGTAGACTGCACAACACGCGCACCTGTTTTTTAGAACCAGCGCTGAGCGCAGAAAATGGCGGGAAATTGTTGTTGGTTTTTTTTTTTTTTTTTTTTCTTTCTTGAAAATTCTTTTTGTTATTGCTAATTTATCAAAATTTTGAAAATTCCGAGTCCACAAGACATATCTGATTTTTACAATAATAATAATAATAATAATAATAATAATATTGGGGTTTTACTTTATACAAACATATTCACCTAAAAAAATGTGTCCTGAAAACTGCGAAAAAAATACATATTTTTTTCTCAATTTCTAGTATTCTATCATACAACTCAACATGACATCGGTTAACATTAGACTATTAGGACTTCTCAAAAAAATTATTAGACTATTAGGATATTTTTGTAATAATAAAATAATTATTAATATTTTTTGACTTAAACTTCACGACTCAATATGTCATGACATGTGTGAGCTCTCGGTCGTCGCGACGGTTAATTAGGGAAAGTCCCTCGTTGAAGGTTAGAGCTATGTCGACCCCCTGCTTGGAGCTTAGGCGAGTTCCTACCTAAGAGGGCCACTCCCCACACTTGAAGTTAAGCCTACCTAGAGCTAGGGCAGAACCCAAGCTCCAACAGAGGAAAACACACGCCCATAACTCATAAGATGTTCCATTGACGCAACACATTAATTAAGTCGTCAACAATTATTGCAAGAGATAATATCCTCGAATCACTTTTATATTAAGAGATGGCGCATGCAATTTACATTAAAAAGGAAATAAATCTTCTAATTAAACTCGTATAATCATTACTAGTTATCTTCAATACTTTATAAGTTCCTTTCATTTAAAACCTAAGGTATGCTACGTACTACAATATCAAACCCGGTTCAATTTTCAAGATAAATTTACCGACTTAAGAATGAGAGTGCCCTCAGCCGGTACCACACAGGTGCCCCTCTTTGCTTTTCTACTTGTTTTGTTTGTTTTTGCAGGGTCTTGGTCTCATCAAGTGTTCTTATCACATTCTTGAGTTATTGCTTATAGACGACATTTTGGTGGTTGATGAAAATTTGCTCCAAGAAAACAATGGTTTATTAGAGTGCGTAAAATATGTAACACAAAATAATGCCTATTTATAGTTTCTTGTGCATTTTTTTTTAGTAGAAAGTTACTTGTGATAATTGCACATCATGCTAATTTTAACCACATACATCTCCAACAAGTGGGGGAAAATTGGAAGTGCACATTCTTCTGTGATAAAATTGTTAAGTTAAAAAGTAAATGAATTTGAGAAAATGTGTGATTTCTCTTGTAATTTTTTTTTCTTTATTACAGTAAATTACTTAGCGGTTAAAAGTAGACATAACTCTTATATTAAAAATGAACTACTATAATTCTTGTGTAAGTTCTTATTTGTTTTTTTCTTTGCGATTTTCTTGCTTTAAGTAATACAAATTAGGACATCTACTTAACTAAAATGGTGCTTTCCTCTTCCCCCCCCCCCCCCCCCCCCCCCCTCTTTTCTTTTTTTTTTCCTTTT